AGATAGATAGATAGATAGATAGATAGATAGATAGATAGATAGATAGATAGATAGATAATTATATAGATAGAAAGATAGATATCCAGATAGACATATAGATAGATAGACATCCAGATAGATAGATATCGAGATAGATAGACATATAGATAGATAGATAGATAGATAGATAGATAGATAGATAGATAGATAGATAGATAGATATCCAGATCGATAGACATATAGATAGATAGATAGATAGATAGACATCTAGATAGATATAGATATCCAGATAGATAGACATATAGATAGATAGATATCCAGATATAGACATATAGATAGATAGATAGATAGATAGATAGATAGATAGATAGATAGATAGATAGTAGATAGAAGATAGATAGATAGATAGATAGATAGATAGATAGATAGATAGATAGATAGATAGATAGACATCCAGATAGATAGATAGATAGATAGACATCCAGATAGATAGACAGATATCCATATAGATAGACAGATAGATAGATAGACATCCAGATAGATATAGATATCCAGATAGACATATAGATAGATAGATAGATAGATAGACATATAGATAGATATCCAGATAGATAGACATATAGATAGATAGATAGATAGATAGATAGATAGATAGATAGATAGATAGATAGATAGATAGACATCCAGATAGATATAGATATCCAGATAGATAGATAGATATCCAGATATAGACAGATAGATAGATAGACATCCAGATATTCTAGATAGATAGATAGATATCCAGATAGACATATAGATAGATAGATAGATAGATAGATAGATAGATAGATAGATAGATAGATAGATAGATAGATATCCAGATAGATATACATATAGATAGATAGATAGATAGATAGATAGATAGATAGATAGATAGATAGATAGATAGATAGATAGACATCCAGATAGATAGATAGATATCCAGATAGATAGACATATAGACAGATAGATAGATAGATAGGTAGACATCCAGATAGATAGATAGATATCCAGATAGACATATAGATAGATAGACAGATAGATAGATAGATATCCAGATAGATAAATAGATAGATAGATAGATAGATAGATAGATAGATAGATAGATAGATAGATAGATAGATAGATAGATAGATAGATAGATAGATAGATAGAGGGGCGTAGCATCTGGGTATGCCTGAGCTGATTGGGGGCCCACCAAGGGGGACCTTATAATTAAAACGAGGGAATGTATTCTTAATTTGTGGCCACAATATAGTTAGACAATATAGTTTTAATTCTCTTTTATCGAAAGATTATCGAAAGCCATTCTTTCTATTGAGAATACACAAAGCCTTAAAGGTGACATATCATGAAAATCTGACTTTTCCAGGTTGTAAGTGCTATAATCAGGTCCCCGGTGCATCTACCAACCAAGGAAACCTGAAAAAGATTAACCCAGTAACTTTGTTTTGGGAAGCCTTTTTCTGCAAGCGTCTGAGAAAACCAGCGCGTCTGATTTCACTCCCCTAGTGACGTTGCAAAGGGATCTCATTATAATATTACCGCCCCTTCATCTGTAAGTGTCCACCCACGGCGCCGTCATTGTGAATTCACAAGCGACAACGATGTACGACTTATATTATATATTGTAAAAAGGGGCATAATATGTCTCCTTTAAATTAAACACCAAGGACATTGTGGATGAATTTGCCAAAAGAAAGGCCCAGAGAATTAAATTAAATAAAATATGTAAATTAAATTACAACTAAAATGTGAGCTTTTTTTTAATTTTTCTTTCTTTCTGTCTTTTTGCATTTTGGACCGCTGTGCCATGAGTGTGTTTGCATTAAGTAATTCAGTAAATATGGCAGCATTTGTCATAATATTTTTAGAATAAAGTCAAAATTACGAGATTAAAGTTGTTATATTGCGTGAATAAAGCTAATTAATGTGAAAATTCCACCTATTCCAAAAAGGTCGGCGGCTGTGGCGGTTAACTGACTGATTTATGAAAATAATAAAACAATGTTGGCAAAGTTATATTGTTGGCGTTTCTGAGGTTACGACTGTTATGACTATTCACAAGCTGTTTTATTGACGATTTTAGAAACACTGATTGATTGATTACATTCGTTTTATTAAGTTGTTCTGATTTTTTCCGACACATCTCCTGATATTCATTCATGTTTATTTTGTGCTGTAAGAGGAAGATTGATTCACATGCCGCTTGAACTGAAGTGAACGCAGTGATCTCACGCCACATTAAAGAGCAGAAAAATACATTTATTGTTTGTATTTCTTGATAAAGAATTTAAAGGCTACTATTTGTGTTATTGCCTATTAAAAGTAACAAAACGTTTATTGCGATACAAATAATGAATACACTTGAAAACGTTAAATATTATTTCCAGGCATTTATACCATCAATTAAAACAGCATGTGAATCGTCATGTTATGTGATTTATCTCAGAAAAGACAACAATAAGGAGCACATTAAACTATTACGTTTGGGGGGGCCGTTTTTGCATGCATGTTTTCGCCACTAGATAGATAGATGGATGGATGGATGGATGGATGATGGATGGATGGATGGATGGATGATAGATGGATGGATGGATGGATGGATGATGGATGGATGGATGATGGAAGGATGGATGGATGGATAGATGATAGATGGATGGATGGATGATGGATGGATGGATGGATGATGGATGGATAGATAGATGATAGACGGATGGATGGATGGATGGATGGATGATGGATGGATGGATGGATGATGGATGGATAGATAGATGATAGATGGATAAACAGTCAGATGGATGGATGGACGGATGGATAAACAGTCAGATGGATGGATGGACGGATGGATAAACAGTTGGATGGATGGATGAACAGTCGGATAGTTAGACGGATGGATGATGGACAGAAGGATAAACAGTTGGATGGATGGATAAACTGTCGGACAGATGGATGGATGACTAAAAAATATGAATTAAAAAATGGATGGATAGATAGATATAGTTAAACAGTCTGATAGATGGATAGATAGATGGATGAAAATACAGATAGATGGATGATGAATGGTCGGATGGATGAATGGATAGATCGATATATAGACGGATAGATAGATACCTTGAGTTTGGCCACGCAGTAGATGGAGGCTGACGGGTTCTTCAGCTGCAGTCGCTCCTTCAGCAGGTTACTGCCATAAGCGAAGTACAGGAAGGTGGATCCGTTCTGGTGGTCGGTGCTGTTGTCCATCGAGTCTTCAGAGGGCAGAGGGACAAGGAGGACGAGGATGAGGAAGAGGAAGAGGAGGAGTAGGGACAGGGTGAGGAAATGGAAGAGGGACATATTTGCGTGGAATCAGGTCAGCGGGGCTCAGAGGCAGAGTGAATGAGATGGAAAACACCTCTGTTACCAGAGCTTTCAGCAGCACTCCATTCTCATGCAAATCTATTGTGTGCCAAACGGCCGCCTGCATTCATCTGATCCCAACGGCTAGCAAGAACTTTCCCAACTGTTCCTCTAGTGGAAGCAGCAGGAATAACCTTTAAGCAGTGAAAATCCACCTCTAAAATAATGCAGGTGTCCAATATATTAAGACGTTTATAATGGGAACTTGAAATGCATCCGAACAACAGAAAGTGCCCTGGGGCCAGTTGCATAAACAAGACTCGTGTCTTAAGAACTAGTTTGACTAATTAGCAGTTAGCCAAGTGGTAATCTGTCTTGCTTTTCAGATTCAAATTAGACCAAGTTTTTATGTAACTGATTTGTGATCAGTCTTGTAGAAAAAAACTAGATGACTAACTTTTAATACTAGTCGAAGTAATTTATGCACTGACTGTAATGATGTTAAAATGCTAAAAGCATTGCATAAGCAAGATTGTATATTACACTGGCTTCACTGTAAATGCCAGTGACTGTTGATTTTGCAAAAGACTGGTTTTCTTTATGTCCTCTACTTTTGGGTTTCAGTTTATGTCCTTTTTTTTGTTGCATTTTAGCTGATTATATAATTGACATGAAAAATAATTAATCTCAAATAATAAAACCATGTGATTTAAGAAGCAATGATGCATAAATGTTGATAATGTACTAGGATGGATGGGGATGATGGATGGATGGATGGATGATGGATGGATGGATGGATGGATGATGGATGGATGGATGATAGATGATAGATGGATAGATGGATAGATAGTTGATAGATGGATGGATGGATGGATGGATGGATGATGGATGGATGGATGGATAGATGATAGATGGATAGATAGTTGATAGATGGATGGATGGATGGATGGATGATGGATGGATGGATGGATGATGGATAGATGGATGGATAGATGATAGATGGATGGATGGATGGATGGATGGATGGATGGATAGATAGATAGATGATAGATGGATGGATAGATATATAGATAGATAGATAGATAGATAGATAGATAGATAGATAGATATCTTGTTTTTAATTTAGGGGTAAACGATTTGTTTCAGTTAGGTGGTTGACAGTTAGATTGTTTCTAAAATGTAAGTGCTATAAATCCAATTTTTTTTTTACCACAATATTCTATAATTCATTACATTATTCTGTATTCTATACAGTATATGCTATACCTAACATCCTCAAATATTTTCAAACAAATATGATGTAATAGAGGGCGCATGCACAGTGTGCAGCGCTCAGCCATTACAAGATAAAGCAATGGTGATGTTTTTACTTTGGAGCGCGTTATGCACGAATATTTTAATAGCATCAGCAAAGACAGAGATCAAAAAGATCAAAACATTTGATTGAGAAGATATCCTCGACCTTCTGCACTCCTCGGGATCCGATCGAAAGCTGCAAACATTCAGCATCACCACCAGCGTCTGTTTACATCTGGACGTATGTGATATAGCAAGTTATCTAGATAGTTAGGTCGATATCATGCTGGGCGATGCTTTTGGACATCGTGTTGAGTCGAGCGTGGAGAATAAAGCAGTGAAGATGAAGAAAAGCAGATCCAAGCAAGCGCTCTTGAAGAAGAGAGGACGAAACGTGCACAGCAAACCCAACAAAGCATCAGGAAACATCAGCAAAAGCAGCTGCAAACCTCCGTTGACCACCCACGAAGAGCTCAAACCAGCTCACTCCAAAACAGCTCAGTCTAAACCAGCCACCAATAAACAGGTATCGGCTCTATTGCCGTGCTAATAGCAGGTTTGTGCATGTGCATTTACCTTGCACTAAAAATGAAAACTATCCGTTTTGATTAGTTTGTTAATGTGTTTATGGTGTTATTAAAATGAAGAGTCTGTAAATAGTCTTGCGTTGGTTTAGTTTAGTGTTTAAAGATATGAAAAGTTGTGGGTTCGGATCCTGGAAGGGTTGATCCATAATCACCACGCGCTCTTGAATCCTGACAGAAAGAGCTGCTGAACCTCATGAATGACCACTATAATTAACGGTCCAAGCACAGACGGTGCTATTTTTCATTTGATTCTTCTTCTCTTTTTTTGTTCTGCCATAATAGTGTATGGGCACCAAAGACTGTAAATCGCAGGGACCCCGTTAACTGAAAAATGAGTGTTTACTATTGTCATTTTGCATTATTGACACTATTTTCCTAATTAATGCTGTTCAGTTGCTTTGTCACAATCTGTATTGTTAAAAGCGCTATATAAATAAAGGTGACTTGACACCTGTTTACTGTACACACACAATTTTACTGTGTAAATTTTCCTTAGCTCAAGTCTGCAAACCTCTTTGCCACCTGCACTGGAAATTGTAATACATTGAAAGTTACATTTTCAAATGAAAATGGCAACATGATTGTTTTATAAAGTATGCGTTCATATGTGCTTCATTTTCACTGGAGGAAACAGCTGTGTGGCGTGATGAGGGGTGAACGCAGCGAAAACTTAGGCTACAGTAGATGGGGAACCGATTGATATTTTGCAAACTGTATTTATGTCAAAGAACAGAACTGCACAGATGCAGATATTATAACAATCTATCGTTAAACACACACATTGTCCTCTGTTTCATGCCATGCGCCGCTGCTGTCTGCTGATTGAAAAAGAACGCGCTGAAAAGAGTCGATCGAAGTCTGTCGCCGTTTTCATATGAAATTTAAAGGGGACTGAGGCGATCAAGAATCCGTGAACAGTTTTATCGCTAAATTTTAGGGGGGCTTAGTACACTCTAAAAAATGCTGGGTTGTTTCAACCCAACTGTTGGGTTAAATTTTTACATTAAATTTTTAACCCAAAAGTTGGGTTAGTCCAAATTTGACCCAAAGTTGGGTTGAAATAACCCAGCATTTTTTAGAGTGTAGTCATTTTAGGGGGGCTATAGCCCTAAAAATGGCCTAGCGACGCCCATGTGTAATCATGACGTAAGATGTCAAACATTTTAAATGATTTTAGTCAAGGCAATTTCAAGCATTTTTGAAACAAAATTGAAGACCAAAAATGTCGACCCTGTTAGGGACAAATGAACAACAGCTTAAAAGACTTCATATTTTGAATGATTGTGCACTGGGTACATTATGAAATTATCATTTAAAAAGGGCTGGACAGAATTACTTTTTTCAGAAATGGGTTTTGATAGGAATTAGAAAAAATGACTTAAGTTTAAATACACTAGTCCTTCAAATTTCACTACTACTATAATCTCACTGTTAAGTCTTTTTGATTATACACCTTTTTCCTAACGAGTCCATTATGTTTTAAATTATGGGACGCACTTCTGGATTGGGGAAGATCCACTCAAAAAGACTGAAACAAATGATTTTCCAATTACAAGGTTGCACTACAGATAATCCTTATCCATCAGTTTGAGCGAATGAGCCGTACATTTTCTTTCATTTCGCTTTCAGACGTCAGGAGAGTAACGCAACGCTTGGTATTTCAATGAGACATAACAAGAATATTTATGGCAAGACCTCTTTTCAGTTCGCTGTGCTTTTTCTCATTATTTTTTTCTTCTTCTGTATTCCGCTGTAACATTACGGGGGGGAAAAGGAAGACACAACATATACTGCACATTTGTGGTCTGCTCTCTTGATTCAGAGCAAATGATTCCGAAAAGTTTCCAGCACTAAACGCCTCAGATGAAATCATCACACTGTGTTTTGGCACTGGAAATAAATGCACATGTTTCTGGACGTGGTGTGAGAAGTCCTGTGTGGTCTGACTGTCTTACATGATCCTAATGTTTTCCTGTTTGTCTTCAGCAACTGAAGTTAAAAACCGAAAGTGTTGAACGAGGGATCCAGCCCAGCAGACCGTCTGTCCACAGCTCGAGCCGGCTTGAGCAAACCACCGACAACCTGATCAAACGGAGACAGTGGAGCAAGCAAAGAAATGCAGCGGACAACACTCAGCTTCCCCAAAGACAGGAGAACCCCACACACACGGGGAAGAGCACGGCTGAGGGTCTCAGGAGGGTGAACGTTTGCTATCCTGAGCTCTCGTCGGAGGCCGAGAAGACGTATGCTGGACCGCCCTCGCCCCGCGTCCTCCCCAAACCGCCCAGCCACTGGGTGGGAGAAGATGCTCTTCAGCAGCACTGCAGCAAAGAGCAGATATCTGTGCACCTCAAAACCCTGCTGAAGGTCCGAGCAGAACCCTGAGCTCGAATCTGAAATGGGACACTTTCGAAAATAAAGCGGACTTGCTACAACTTGTTGCAAAGAACTATTGAACTTTGCCATTGTTTAGGAAAGCGACTGTGAGTTAAAGGGATAGTTCAGCCCAAAATGAAAATGCTGTCATCATTTACTCAGCCTCATGACCTTCCAAACCTGTGGAACACACAAAAAAAGATATTCTGATTGATGTTGAGAACTAAAACAGTTTTGGTTATACCATTGACAACTTGGAATGTTCCACAGAAGAAGGAGAGTCATACGGGTTTGGAATGAAATGAGGATGAGTAAATGATGATTGAATTTGCATTTTTGGGTGAACTGTCCCTTTAAACATGAAGACTTGTGGAAGTGTAAAAACTGAGATATTTAATATGTGTATATTTTTTCATGTTAATTTACCTGAAAAGTACATTTAGTTTTGTTACGGAAGCTCATCATTCTGTATCATGATTTATTTGCTTTCATGTGCAAAATGTTACACATACTGGTGTCTCAAGAATGAGTTATATTGTTGTATATTATAAGAGTATGAGATATTTTAGAAAGACAATCGCCGTGAAGAACTGGACCGCTGATGGCAAGAATTTTTTTTTTTTACATTATTTTGAAGCACTGTGTACAGTAAGCAACTACTTATGTCTGTCTTTGAAAAATTATAGGTTTTATTTCAATTGCACAATTTGTTTTTAACTGTTTGAGGAATGTACTATTTTGCACAAAGCCCTGTAATTTTGCCCATGTTCGTGTTGGGACGTTACACTTGATTTGAAATTCTCTCTTCAACATCATTATTTTTTATCATCTGCATCAGTTCAAAAAGAAACACACGAGTGGATACAATAATCATTTTATCTTTTTATTCTGTACATCATGAAATAAAGAGTTTCGGCCCCATAATTTTTTGTGCGTTTTGAGACTTGAGGTTCATTATTGATCTGTTGATGCAAGTTAACGGCGTTCGGTATTTCTGCATGTTGCAAAAGCATTCAGATCCCAATCTAAACTCACTAGTTCTTCTATTTCTGAATACACTACTTGTCATGGCTTACTTTTTGAGCACTCAAAACAAATGATTTTAATGTCTCGTTTCACATAATCAGCACTATTCTGCGCCCTTTTGTAGTACGAGTAGTGTGTTTATACTTAATAGCAGCCTGCATAGTGTATTATAAATGCACAGTGTACTATTCGGTTCAAACTCATAAACCTGAATTTTGCAAAAAGCAAAAAAGGTTTGAGGCTCCAAACAATAAAACATGTTATAAACATGTATGTTGTGTTCTTAAACGTATAGATTTTATTGGAATTCATTTTTGTATTCTTATACAGTACGTGATAATTTTTATGTGATTTTACAGATCTCTGTATCCTTGTACAATACCACTGGCTCTTGGTCTATACATTACTGCAGGTTTATGGAGTATAAGTCATGTATGTTTTTACTTATGAATTCATTAAAGTCAGCATGAAACAAAGTTGCGTCTTTTATAATAAACACGGCAATATTCCACAAAAAAATAAGAATTGTTAACTTTGATTTCGACTGAATATCATGCATGCAAAATAATTCAACTAAATTTAAATTTGAAATTAATAGAAGAATTATGTAAGATTTCAAATGACTTAGTCTAGAATTATACTTGATTTCAAAACATTTGTTGCATTGCCTCAGATGAAATCATCACACTGTGTTTTGGCACTGGAAATAAATGCACATGTTTCTGGACGTGGTGTGAGAAGTCCTGTGTGGTCTGACTGTCTTACATGATCCTAATGTTTTCCTGTTTGTCTTCAGCAACTGAAGTTAAAAACCGAAAGTGTTGAACGAGGGATCCAGCCCAGCAGACCGTCTGTCCACAGCTCGAGCCGGCTTGAGCAAACCACCGACAACCTGATCAAACGGAGACAGTGGAGCAAGCAAAGAAATGCAGCGGACAACACTCAGCTTCCCCAAAGACAGGAGAACCCCACACAAACGGGGAAGAGCACGGCTGAGGGTCTCAGGAGGGTGAACGTTTGCTATCCTGAGCTCTCGTCGGAGGCCGAGAAGACGTATGCTGGACCGCCCTCGCCCCGCGTCCTCCCCAAACCGCCCAGCCACTGGGTGGGAGAAGATGCTCTTCAGCAGCACTGCAGCAAAGAGCAGATATCTGTGCACCTCAAAACCCTGCTGAAGGTCCGAGCAGAACCCTGAGCTCGAATCTGAAATGGGACACTTTCGAAAATAAAGCGGACTTGCTACAACTTGTTGCAAAGAACTATTGAACTTTGCCATTGTTTAGGAAAGCGACTGTGAGTTAAAGGGATAGTTCAGCCCAAAATGAAAATGCTGTCATCATTTACTCAGCCTCATGACCTTCCAAACCTGTGGAACACACAAAAAAAGATATTCTGATTGATGTTGAGAACTAAAACAGTTTTGGTTATACCATTGACAACTTGGAATGTTCCACAGAAGAAGGAGAGTCATACGGGTTTGGAATGAAATGAGGATGAGTAAATGATGATTGAATTTGCATTTTTGGGTGAACTGTCCCTTTAAACATGAAGACTTGTGGAAGTGTAAAAACTGAGATATTTAATATGTGTATATTTTTTCATGTTAATTTACCTGAAAAGTACATTTAGTTTTGTTACGGAAGCTCATCATTCTGTATCATGATTTATTTGCTTTCATGTGCAAAATGTTACACATACTGGTATCTCAAGAATGAGTTATATTGTTGTATATTATAAGAGTATGAGATATTTTAGAAAGACAATCGCCGTGAAGAACTGGACCGCTGATGGCAAGAATTTTTTTTTTTTACATTATTTTGAAGCACTGTGTACAGTAAGCAACTACTTATGTCTGTCTTTGAAAAATTATAGGTTTTATTTCAATTGCACAATTTGTTTTTAACTGTTTGAGGAATGTACTATTTTGCACAAAGCCCTGTAATTTTGCCCATGTTCGTGTTGGGACGTTACACTTGATTTGAAATTCTCTCTTCAACATCATTATTTTTTATCATCTGCATCAGTTCAAAAAGAAACACACGAGTGGATACAATAATCATTTTATCTTTTTATTCTGTACATCATGAAATAAAGAGTTTCGGCCCCATAATTTTTTGTGCGTTTTGAGACTTGAGGTTCATTATTGATCTGTTGATGCAAGTTAACGGCGTTCGGTATTTCTGCATGTTGCAAAAGCATTCAGATCCCAATCTAAACTCACTAGTTCTTCTATTTCTGAATACACTACTTGTCATGGCTTACTTTTTGAGCACTCAAAACAAATGATTTTAATGTCTCGTTTCACATAATCAGCACTATTCTGCGCCCTTTTGTAGTACGAGTAGTGTGTTTATACTTAATAGCAGCCTGCATAGTGTATTATAAATGCACAGTGTACTATTCGGTTCAAACTCATAAACCTGAATTTTGCAAAAAGCAAAAAAGGTTTGAGGCTCCAAACAATAAAACATGTTATAAACATGTATGTTGTGTTCTTAAACGTATAGATTTTATTGGAATTCATTTTTGTATTCTTATACAGTACGTGATAATTTTTATGTGATTTTACAGATCTCTGTATCCTTGTACAATACCACTGGCTCTTGGTCTATACATTACTGCAGGTTTATGGAGTATAAGTCATGTATGTTTTTACTTATGAAATCATTAAAGTCAGCATGAAACAAAGTTGCGTCTTTTATAATAAACACGGAAATATTCCACAAAAAAAATAAGAATTGTTCACTTTGATTTCGACTGAATATCATGCATGCAAAATAATTAAACTAAATTTAAATTTGAAATTAATAGAAGAATTATGTAAGATTTCAAATGACTTAGTCTAGAATTATACTTGATTTCAAAACATTTGTTGCATTCTGTATCTGTAGTTTCTTCTTTTCCCACCCAATGCCAGTATCCTGAGCTTCAAGAAAACGGAGATGGATGCAACATTTTTGAATGGCATCAGTCAACAAATCAGATTTTTGATGGGTACTGGAATCATAAATCACACCATCTTTATTAATTTAGGCCAGATGAGAACTGGTCCCCGGACTGAGCCTGGATTCCCCATTTCTGTCACCTAGTGGAGTTTAGGTTCTTCGTCACTGTCACCGTTGGCACTAAATATGCAGTAATATGAATATTAATTTGTTAATATTTGACTGCAATGATACTATCAGATGAGAACACTGAACTGCATTGAGCTGAATAATGACTGTTGTCTTGCTGCTTTATAGCAGAATTTGAATTTGTCATATTTGATGAAGTTTGCATCATTTATTGTTATTTTTCAGTTTGTTACTATGAAGCTGTTTTGAGACAATCTGTATTGTATAAATAAAGGTGAGTTAACTTGACTTTTGTACACTTGTCAAATAAAAACCTAAGCTTTAAAATAAGAGAATACACCGTTTCACGGGAAGATTTGGTCAGGAAAAATGTTATTTTCCAAAAATACTGTATTTCACACAACTCAGGAGATACTATAATGTATAATAATGTAGTGCATCAGTGTCTATATCTATAATGCATAAATATATTCATAAAAAATAAATAATCTCTAGTTATTTGAAGAACAAATGAAATGCTTCCTCCTGCTTCCTCTAAATTAGTTCTGAAAAATCTTCTTTACTTTGGAA